GAATGCCGGAGACAATTCCTGCTGCCGACACCAGTGCTCGTTGGGCCCCTTCGTAGTGTAGCTGCGCGGCGGCATCAATGCCACACAAAGCGGGCCGTTCGGCATCTCCCAAGGCGACAAATGTCAGGGAGTTTGCATCCATATAATGTGTAAACTCCGCCTCACCATCATGGCGGTAAAGCTGAAGAACGACGGTGTCGGGCAAATAAGAAGGCATTGCCTCCAGCTCAGGCGTTGGCTGCTTTTCACACAGCATGGGGAAAAGCTATTTCTCATAGTTTTTGACGATAAATTCCATCGCCGCACGAACGTCGCCGGCCGATGAGACACGAATTCGCGCCACCATTCGCACACGAGGTCCCTCCTTCACGGAGCCCACAATAACTCCGAGCTCCTTGTCGGCGTCAAGAAGGTCTGCGCAGTGCTCTGTTGACCCAATGACATGGCATGAGAATGCAAAAATGCCCTTTTTGGCGCCCAGCCGAATAAATTCAGTGATGACTCAAGCAGCATATCCTTCTCCAGCTGCAGAGCCGTACATGAGTTGTCGCTTTGGTGACGAACGCACGCCGTAGCTGAAGGCCACCATGTTCTTGCGTTCCTGAGGAAAGTTGGGGGCGGCAGTGGCACACAATTTTCGGAAGAGTGTACTTGCGCCCGGACCGTCCAACGCCACATCGACGTCAAACAAGGCCTCAGCGACCGCAAATCCGGCATCCCTCAGGGGCTGGGAGCAATTCAACTGCACCGTGTTGCCGTCCACCCGTACTGTCGCGGGGAGCTGCGAGGACGGCGTCGTGGTCTGGTGGGAGCAGAAACGGCTTTCGCCTCCATTGGAAGAATATCACCTTGAATGCTGCGCTGTGCGTTTGTTGCATGCACAGAAAAAAGGTCAAAGTCAGAAAGAAAAGAAGAGAGAGACCGAGAGGGAAACAACACTGAATAATCTTCTGGGCCACTGGCCGAGGTCTGAAATCATCCAAAAAGGACAGGAAAAAAAGCGGTAAATGGAGAGGCAATGAGTTCGCCGTAATGCTTTCCCCAAAATATATATACATTCTGTCAATCACTGCCGTGGACTGCTGCGCACAGTTAGAATTAGAAACACTTATCCCCTGCGAAGTGGCAGGCCTTTGGGCTCCTCCACCCGCAAAAAACCGCCGCAAGGTGGGGATCACAAAGTGGGTGGGTGGGAAGGCAAAAATAAAAAATAATAATAATTTCGTCTTACAGCTGTCGGCTCCCTGACTCCCTCAATCGCGGTCTCCCAAAAGACCGTGCGAAAGAAGAGGAAAAGGTTGTGAAAAGATATCTTCGTTTGCGCGAGATATGAATTTATTTGGGCAGCCAGCCGTCCTCTCAAGCATTCTTTTCACAAAATCCCATGAAAATAATGAAAAATTATGCGGCCCCTATAGTGCGCAACAGCCTCCAGTGACGATGCGCCTCTGGTGGAAAAAAATAAAATAAAATGAGAAAAGGGTGTGGTGAGTGTGGCACTGCTGATCACAATGGTTCTCTGAAAAGAAAGGCATTCACTGTCCAGACCTCGTAGGCACACACACATATAAAAATCGTTAAAATACTTCCTAATATATTTCACCAGAAAGAAATGCACTTTGTTACTACTTATTTTTTTCAATTTTCTTGCCTATCCCATTTCTAGAAGATTAATGTATTCACTTTTCTCGGATTTTGTTTACAAAATCAGTTGTCAACACAAACTGGTATTGGTGTACCTTTCCGTTCCAGAACGCCACAATTTCTTTTTCAGCGTCGCTCAAATTATTGGTATTGACGGGACCACATCTCTGCCAGTTCGTTATCATTGTGCTGTTTTCGTGCTGCACATAAATCATCTCCCACGATATGTCTCGGGATAATTCGTCCCAACCATTAAAATATTCCGCCAGGCGTTCATTGAACAGCCTCACAGTGCTGGGTATGGTGTGATGCTCACCCGCCGTCGTCATCTGCAGCCCAACCAGCGTCTTCCGCGGCGAATCAACAAAGAAAAAGCCGTCCACCAGCGGAAAGTTTTGGACCGCCGGTATTTACAGCACCCGATAATTCATATTTTGTTTCGCATCAATTTCTTCAACTCCAGGTATTTCACATATTTCGGTGGGGTGCCCTCCAGGATGTGATTTCAGCACCGCGTACTGTCCTACACGGCGTGCTGGTGACCTCAGCTCCTTAACGTCCTCTACTAATGCACCGAAAAACTCCCCAAAACATGAATGCGCGCAAGCCAAACCTTCCCATACACTCGGACAAAGGAGTATTCCTCTTCCCCAATAATAGCAACAGAAATATATATATATCCCTCTCACTCATCACGTTTCCAGAAATGGTGCGGTATTCGACGCTCGAGGCAAACAGATATCGGTGCGTTGAGAAATACCTCAGCACCGACTTCTCCTCTTGCTCGGACAATCCTCACGAGTTTTTGGGACGGATCCTTAGAATACCATAGCCTCCCTCCCGGAAGTATAAAGCGATCGTCAGCATACCGAGAATTGATCGCTTCCAAGGCATCCTCAACGGCACCAAATCGTGCTTTAAAATCATTCGCATGAAATATATGCTGCGGAAGCGGCCCCACTTTTTCCATGTGTTTTTCAACCATCTTCCAATATTTCGTTTGCTCATCTGGATCCAGACCTTGTTTCATCCACGCACACATCGCCTTCACATCCATCTCTTCGGGGCAATTCATGATGATTCGCGTGGCTTTTACTTCCGTCTCCCATCCATCATAGTTGCTTACCTCTGGGGATGACACCACAATCATGCCCCATTCACGCAAAGAAGCAAAATAACTCGCTGGCGGTGTTCCTTTCTTTGCCACATCGTAGATAATATACCCCTTCATCCCGCGCCGAGACAGTTCCTTCACAGCTTTTATCATCATGGACTTATCCGTGTAGCTTGTCACCGTCTGGATGGTCTTGTCAAACACGTACGTCGTATTTCCAAAACGATGGACAACCATTTGGAGTTTCTCCGCATCGCAGTGCAGCAGCTGGTAGAGGAGGTACGAGCCGGCATTCATCGACTTCCCGATCCCGGGCGTCCCAACCAACAGACGCCGCTTGGGCGTAAACTCGGTCCCACCGTGAATGCTGAGCCACGCGGTTAGATCGCCCTTGACGATCCGCCACACTCGATCCACCTCACAGTTCACATGGCAGTCACGATTGAATACACACACACACCACGAGTACGGCCATCCCTTGTCCGAGGTGAGCACCATCAGCCTGGGACGCGGTGCACCGGACTGCTCCACACCGTCATCCTTTTCGAGGAATTCGCCAACTGCCTTGTACGTCCATGACTGCGGTGGTTCACCCTCCTCCCTCACATCCATTCCTATCCCTCGCCGCCAGGAACCTCCACGACACGATGCCACCCCGCATTGTACACAGACTCGTAGCATCCCTCCAGGTATATCGGTGCGCTCGAATTCTTTGGGTTCCTCACTTCCTCGGTGGCCGCATCCAAAGTATCTTTAGTGATGCAATGAACATTTGCTTTTACCTCCGCAGCAGCCACCAACCAATTCAGTAGATTGTCCACACCTTTCTCGTAAAGCTTGTCTGCAGCTTCTTATCCATTTCATCCCTTACAGCCCTCTCCATCATCTTGTAACGATCGGATGCCTGTATTTCGTTCAATACTCCCGCATCGCAAATATATTTCTTGGGGTCCTTAAAAAACTCCTCAAGTAAGACATCCCGATTTGTGTTCACAACGCCCCTGCCGTCCAATTCCGTCGTAAGAAAGTCATTCAGCTTCATTTCATCCACGCGAACCCTTCCTTTAAGCACCGCATAATTAATCCTAGTGGAAATGTCAATCCCCAGTTCTTGTCGTTCTCGCCTTTCCCTTTCTTCTGCTTCCCGCCTCTCTTCTCTCAGCACATAAGAGTAGGCTTTGTTTATTTGTGTCCTTGCAAGAGGAGTGACCGTATCCTTTCTTTCAAATTTACTCCAATGTCTGAGAGTGACAATATATTCCTTTTTAAGCTTATGTGAAGCCTCCAATAGCATTTAAGACTCTTTACGCTCCTTTTTCAGCTCTTCGAATGACAGCGATGCCTTTATTGTGCTCAATAACACTTCTTCTTGGATGAACTCACTGGGGCTACCCAAAACATCCTTCATATAGACGTTCTCATTGAATTCCTCAACGCCCCTGCCGCCAAAATAATTCCGAAGGAAATCATTCAGCCTCATGTTGGTGATGCGTTCCTTTCCTCCAGCAGCACTTTATCCAGCCGACTGTCAAGAGTCCACTGCGGTTGCCGTGGTTCCTCAACTCCTCTACAAGTCGTAGCGGGTTAATCCGTCTCGTCATGGGACGACAGCCTTGCTCTCGTCTGACGATCTCCCTGCGGCACAGCAGACGCTTGACTCTCGTTATTATCGTCACCCTGCACTCTCTTGCGCTTTCCAGGCATTGTTTCTCCTTGTCTTCGTAGTTGGATTGAGTTAAACCTGAACACTAACCAAAAATCAAGAAAAGGGAATAGAATAAAGAGAGAAAAAGAGAATACCCACAGGCATGACTGACAGCCACAGCAAGAGAGCCATCCACACAGTGTGACAGCACAAGGTGAGTTCGGTTACGCAGCAGGAAGAAAAACACGTACATTTCAGCAAAAAAAAGAAGCAACCCAAAAAAGACAGTGAACCGGCAACCGAACCGAAGCTCCTCCCACGCAGTCATCGTGGAACGAAAGAAAGTCACAAGCTCAGTCGCACAAAACAGAAACAAATCAAAAAAAAAATGAAGAGCAACGCTGTCGGTGCTGTGAGCGATGGATGGCTGTGGTGCGCAGCACATCCGTGCCCTCGCTATCGCCCAACCAGCACTGCAAACCTGTCAATTCTACTTGTTGCACGTCACAGGAGGGCGTAACCAATTTTGCAGCTCACACTGGATGCACGGTCAAACAGGCTCAGGGCGTCTGAGCGGGTGTCACCGGCCACAGGCTGCTACGGCGGTGCGGGTGGTCGGTACGACGACGCAACGGTGGTGCCTGAGGCGCACGACAATGACGTCATTTCGTGGGGCTTCTGCGTCTCTTCGTCGCCCTCCTCGCCATCGCGCAGCAGCGCCTCCAGCCCTCCACGCTGCGGCTCGCGCAGCTCCTGCCAGTGGCGGTCCTCCATGTACCACACAACGACGCTGTACACAGTGACCGCAGGCAGCTCAGTCGTCAGCAGCAGCACAAGAGCCGCGTACGCCCTCGCTCCGCCGTCGCTCGGCGCAAGGTGGTTTGCCGCGCTCACAAGGCACAGCGCCGCAAGCAGCGCAAAGCTCGCCGCGCGCATCACCGTCAGGAAGGCCGAGCGCATCATGTTCGTGAAGGCAACCACGCCCGCGCCCGCAAGCAGCACAGCCGCCATGCAGAAGTACTGGGCGTGGCAGCCTCCCACGGGCGGGTGCACAGCCGCAATCAGGCACACCACGCACAGCACCAACAGCTGGAACACGCACCAGTACACGTGGCTGCCCCTCATGTTCGTCAGCATGCCGCCGTACATCCGCTGCTGCGCCGCGGGATACCAATACCCGACGGGGTACAGCAGGCGCTCTTGCAACGGCTTCCTCGAAAACTGCCAGTACCTCGTGAAGCTCGCGCCCACGTGGCGAGCAATGAAGTAGCACACGCCAGCAGGAATGCCACACCTTACAGAACGCCAACGACACCAATCAAGCGCTGATCGCCGCTGTGTTGGGGTGCATGCATTACGGTGTGACGGTCGCATTCCCGCCGTGGAATACGGCGAGTGCGTAGACGGCGTTGCTCTACCTGAATGGAACGCCGATAAACATTGCCAGGGCCGGCGCAGGACCGGTGCCATGCAGCCGCAGAGCAGAATGCATCGCCCAACACCTTGGTGTAAAGAAGCCATTGAGCAGCATCCCGCGGACAGGCAGTGTGCCGTGTAGTGTGTCAACCTTCACAGGCTCACAATCTCTCCTCACTGCACCACAAAAGCGGCTCCTCTCGCGGCATCTGGATCCCGTGGTAAATCACATTGTCGAAGTGCCCTTTTCTGTCACCCGCAGCGCCGAGGAGCGCGCATACGGATGCAGCTTGTCTTTGGCCACTGCGGCATGTCGAGGAACGAAACACGTGATGCATAAGTCAATAAGGCGTCTGACCTCGCACAGATCACAGATGGATGGATTACCTGCATCGTCGCACTGGCCGAATGTACTATTCGTGCCCGACGGCACAGGCCAGAGGCTCATCGCCCCACCGTAGCAGGTGACTGGGAACCCACGCACACGGACGCCATCCTCACTCGTGGGGAAGAGGCCGCACTGACCCGCCTCCGCACCGGGGTTTCGCACAAATACGGATGGCTGCTACGGTCGCTGCGGCCTAGATGCCGCACAACAGGCACGCAAAGAACCTCGCACGGAAACGCCTTTTCCTCCCGCTGGACCCCACCCCACCACGATGCGACGCCCGGCAGGCGCTGTGCTTGCCGCCGTGGTGTCGTGACGCAAATGTCTAACGCCGATGGCGTTACGCGCTCCCACGCGCTGTGGAAAGCCAAGTTCCCCGGCGAGCTGGAACCGCCGGGAATTCCACCGGAACCGCCACCCGCCACTCGAGCGAGGGCGAGAGCGAGGGACGGCACACTGATCGCACCTCCGCCGCAGACTGCACGGCCCAGGCCGAAGGCACTCTCAAGCAGTTTCCGCACAGCGTCGTACGACCAACGAGCAGGGCTCAGACTTCATCTCCGGCACTTCCACAATCAAGGCCGCCCCCGACAATTAGGAAGCATCCCCAGGAATATGAATATCTGACTCCATCCGCCCCGCTCGAACGCACTTACTGTGAATTCGGGGTTCAAGCGATAGCAGGACCACCATCCCGCATACGAGCAAAAGAACGCTCCAGAACAGAGCTGCAGCCAGCACCAAAGAACACAGCACTCCTTCAATGCCCTCAATGTGACGGGCAGGCGGGCAATGCCGGGGGTTGACCACACACACCCGGCACAAACACCCGACAGCAAGAAATTCAGGACACTAAAAAATGGAGATTAAATAACCACGCGCTGCAAAGTACGAACCTCCGCATAAAGAACATCAAACCCACACAGGAACCCCGCCTCCGCGCAGGAGAATGCCACCGGGGAACAGCGCACCGTGTGCCCAAAGTGGCACACACATCCATTCATCAGCGCCACGCTGTCGCCGAGAAAGCGCACTTCGCACGGCGGGCGGCAGCCCGATGGAACTAAGACCGGTAGAAGTTCAACGTCCGACATGCGGTTTTCAGCGCTGCAGCAGTGACGGACGGACCCGCCACCGCACGGTCTGCCACCGGCATCGAGTGGACATCATTAAAATCAGGCCAGCGTGAACTGTGCGAGAGGGGACGAGTACGCATCTACTCCGCTGCCCGGCTCCGCAGGCGCCTGGAGAAAAACATGGAGTGGACACCGGGGAAGTGAGGAAATTGTGTTTCACCAAGAAGCTGGCGCAGATTCTTTTTTGACGTGGAACGGCTCTGCTGCCAGCAGCGCCTCCGCGCAACGAGAGGGCACAAGAGCTCTCGCAGATGCGGCATAAAGCCGATGCTGGTGGCATTTATTTCTTATTTTCTTTCCATTTTTTATGGATTGCCTGGTTTGTTGATTTGTTATTTCATTGATTCTCGGCAACGCCGGATTATCGAGCTATCGTGCCAGCCCGGGGCGGATGCGTAACGCGGTTGTGTTTCGCGCCTTCCCACTGCAGCGCCATCTCCGGGTGTCGGGGATTTCTTTCGCATCTTCACTCAGCAGGGCGGACGTGCTTGACAATGATGGCTGGCATAACAGCCAACAAATTTATTTTTAAAAAACACAAGCAGAAAAAAAAAAAAAATGGGTATAGCTTTGGATGACACCATGTGCAACGGTGTTTACGCATAGTATCCGCCTTATTTCTCTCCTTGCCTTCTCCCTCAAGAATCATGGCGCCACAGGTAGGTTCACCCGCATTTCAGCAGACACCTATTTTTCATTTTCTTTTTGCACAGCAGCAACAATAAATTCATTTCATCTCACTCCTCGGCGGATCTTCCTCAAGCAACCGTCTCGCTGCTGCCTGCCCCAGCACCTAAATGCTACGGTCAGAGCACCGGCGATGGACCGCTAAGTGGCTTCGCCCAGCAGACACAAGCATAACACGTTCTGCTTCCTCAGAAAGTAACGATTCCACCACATGTATAAAATTCCTTCATTTCCTACTCCCCGCCAGTCTCCAAAAAGAATAATTCTTCCTGTGGCTGGCTTTGCAATAATTGTATGCGTCACCAACTGTCTCTCTGCCAAAAGTGTATCCCAAATTCCATCCCCCCCCCCCCAATTTCAACTTTTTGTATCAGCACTGTCGTCACAAAAAGTGTGAATAAATTAATAAAAAGTTCGCTTAAGCCCACCCATTGTAGGCAAAATGTCAAAAAATATCTATATATTTTCTCTCCTCTCTTCTTCTCCAGAGGCTTCAAAACAATCGGCTCCCTCTTATAGGTGACGCTTCTCGCTCTCGGGATATCCCTCTCTATGAATCAAACAATGGCAACTGTTGTGACCGCATCATTCGTAAGAAACAAGAATCGGCTTTGCCCTTGCACAGGTCATCCCAGCATCCAAGCTGTTCGACTCTTCCATCGTTGAGAACAAGAACCGTATCTGCCGATTTTAACGTTGCAAGGCGATGCGAAACAATAACACATGTTGTTTGACGCGTTCTCTTGGCTTCCCCGGTCAATCCAAGAAAGCAAAAAACCGACCGCTCCGTTTCCGTATCCACTGCACTCGTCGCCTCGTCAAAAACATAAACGCACACTTCCGAGCTTTTTCTCATGAGCGCTCGAGCAATGCAAAGGCGCTCCACCTCCCCACCACTAAACTCCTGGGCACGCAGTGGTGCAAAGATGTTAGAAGATCGGTTCTGCACAAAATTCAAAGCCCGTGCTGCAGACAAGGCACCGTAAATGTCTGTCACAGAACATGACCAAAGATTTCCGAATGCTACATTGTCTGCAATAGAAAGATGATCAAATAACCGCAGCTGACTCTCCTCCTGCCAAACATTTGCTATTCTCCTCCGGAGCATTCGGGCAGGATAACGGCGGATATCTATTCCGTTAATTCGTATTTCCCCCAAAGTGGGCGCATAAGTCCCATTTAACAAACGCAAGATTGTTGTCTTTCCCGCCCCACTGTACCCGGTAATGCCCAGAAATGACCCCTTCTCGACCCTAAACGAAACGTGCCATAATATATAAGGTTTGTCTTCGCTGTACCGATACGAAACATCGTGAAACTCAATGCTCCACGGGCCCTCCATCAATGGTGGGGGATCCATAATGGGGCGATCAATCTTGTGCTGCACAAACTGCAGCTCCTCCAGCACCTGATAACACCCAAGCGAGCTTCCGCTTAGAGTTAATTGTCGCTGGACACGCGCCAGGTCAACCTGCGCCGCACTAAGGCCGTGTTCCTCATAAAACAAATCGGCAAAAGTGGGAAAAAGAGGAAATGCATGTTGAATAAACTCCAAATGCGAAATGACGCCGCTTTGCTCCAGCGCATCTTGCTCAAGGTACGCTTTCAAAGAACAAAGCGTTGCAATTGAGGTAAGAAGTAGTGGCATCGCAGAAGTTGTTCGAAATACCCCACGGAGAAAATCACGAATAAAATATTCCCTCTTGTCATTTCTACTCCCATAAGGAGTCTCAACAACAGCCTTGACTACCCCTAACTCCATGCCGTTCTGCCGAAAAAACATAAATCCCTGATGATATTCCGCAACGTATCGTGAGCCGCTGCGAGCCTCAAAAATTCCTTCCCTCATACACAACATGATCTGCATGACTGCCTTCACCCCTTGAATTCTTTGGGGGTTTGCTGTCTTAGTTTCAAATAATAAAGCCTTTTCCAAGGTGTAAACAATGTGCCTCACAAGCGCTGTAGGGGCCATTGGCCAAGATGCATTCTGCAAGATGCAGTTCCAAGACGGTTTCGAGATCAATTTTAACTCCAAAAAAACAAGTAGGAGGACGGCTAGGCCGTGGTGTTGCCGCATGCCGGCTGGAGCAACAGTCTGTAGCTGAAAAAATGAGTTCCGTCTTCCTCCTGCGGCGTTATTATTGCCCACAAAAAAATCGCCTGTCTTCATTATCAAACTGATGGGTGACGGAAAATTTAGTTGGCCGTCAAGAAGCATGCGCCCTTCTTCAAAGTCCTTCTTTTCGTTACGACTTTCCCCTTCTTCCTGATGGGGGAAGCCATCCAGTGAGAGTAAATGGCGCTTGGCGTACTGAGACTCTAAGTAGAGTGATTCATTGAGAAATTCCACAAGGTCACTCCACTGAGCACCCAACCAAATAGTCAGCGCCATTACGGGAAAGCGCATCACAACCCAGGCGCTGCAGAACAATTGCGTCAAGAAAGGCAATTGGCTCTGTAGTTCACCCATCACCAAACTTGAGACTTGCCAAAGTGCATTTAAAACACTCTGCGATAGCGACCAGTTATCGTCAGGGTTATAGTCTGCAGTCGCAAGCTCCAAGTAGGCGCTGACGTGGAACGCCGTGACAAGGTCCATTAAAATATAGCTAGTGACAAGGTTCCGAAGGCAATAAATCAGTTCAATTGGACCAATGGAATTAACCGCAATGGCTACAAGCGCCCCGGTTGCACCAAAGAAATTTCCCTTAACAAATTGAAAAAAGGAGTTCTCGCATGACACCGATTCTGGAGTTAACGCTTTCTCAATTTCGGTGACGCACACTGACATCCAATGCATGTCCGTGTGCCATCCAACAAGTGCCATAAGAATAACATCCGGCGAAAGCAACAAGACACAAATTAACCCAATCAATTGTCGTGTGGAACAGGACCCCCAAACAAGTTTTAAAAAAGAAAGTAGTCCCAATCGGGTCGACTTTTTTTTACGGTACGCACTCAAAAAAAGTTGAAAAAGCCCCTCCGGAAAATTTTCCACCAATGGGGAACTGTTCAACAATAATGACGATTTCTTTATGTCGTACCTCCGCCGCAGCAAAATGCAGACGGCAAGAAGCCCTTCTGCCTGCATTTCGTCAAGCAACAGGGCATTATCCTCCTTCAATTGACGCCGTAGGTGATGTCTCACGATTGCTACCAAACAATTCCACGAGTCACAAATAAGAAGCTCATCGGAACTTTTGTTCCTCAAAAGGCCGCTGTACACCTCGAAGAGGTCCATAATGTCCAAATGGCCACCGTCAAAGAATAATGCAGGAACACGCAGCAGCTTCGCGTTTTTCCAGTTTAGTTTTACCTCAACACATGCCCCCTCCTCCTCCCGCTCAGGCATGTCGTCTGTGCTGCCACTCGCGGCTTTTACAAAAACATCAATAATTTCGTACGCCCGCGCCTCCAAAACCAAAAGCACCGCATTTCTCGAACGTCTCCTCACAAACACGCGTGCTAAAAGCACCGCACCGGCGGCAGAGACGGAAATCAAGAAGGGTGCCGCCATCAGAGTGTACGCTCTGATGTGGAATGCCATTATCAAAGCATTACAACCCCTTCCCTTTGCGGGGGTTCCCTCTTTTTTTTTTTTTTTTTCCTTCTGTTGCTTGTGCATTTGCATTTTTTTTTAATTGTGTGTGAATTAAAACACACACAAAATAGTCAACGCAAGAGAAGCCAAAAAAGATGTTTCTGTCGTTGTTTTTTGCAAACAACACGAACAAAAAAGTGAAGAGTCGAACAGAAACTGTTCTTCCATAGATTCCAATTTTGCTACAGTAACTCCACATGGCACACGCATGTAAAAAATAAAATAAAATAAAATAAAAATAAGTGAAGAAGCAGAAAACAAATTACAACCAAATACGGGAAAAAATAATAATAAATAATATCCCTTTTTTTTTCCTTCTCTCTCGAACTCCATCAATTTTTTCTGTCATTTTCCTTATCTTATATATATATATATATATATAGATAGATAGATAGATATGCTTTATTTTAACAAAATATTTTTCTTCCCCTCTATTTCTCTCTCTATTTATAGCGCCTTCCCCCCTGCCGTAGCTCGCTCGTCATGATGTGGGGTAGTGCACTCACCACAAACGCGAGTTGAGCAACAACAACAACCACAAAAACTGTACCCTTTATAGACGATGTAGTCCGGCACCTGAAGTTGGACGCTCTCTAGCTTGTCGCACCGCAGGAATAATGTGGGGAAAACTTACCGGCATACTCCGCGCCACACGTGCTACAGGAAGAAATGTGTCCAACGCCCGTGGACGCAAAGGGATTACGGGAGACTCAAGAGAAGGTAGCGACTGCACATGCCTCTGCCCAAAGTCCGGTGTCTGCGCCATGGAAGAAATCACTGGAGGCTCATTGAAACCGGTTAGCGAAACAGCGTGGGTTGGTTGTTGAAACACGGGCGGGTAAACGTGATCAGAAACTCTTGGGACATAATCCGTAGGATTTTCAACCGTCATTTGAGGAGTGGCAGGGACGTGATCGGTCACCTGTATTCTCTTACGTCGTTTCTCACGAGGTTTTGGCTGCTCCTGACTCGTTTGAAGCGTCTTCTTCTTTTCCTTTCCAATGGACGGTCTTTGTTTTTCCTGCGACACTTTGGCGGAGGCCACACGGGAAGGCTCCTCAAGAGCCACATTTACCTCTGAATTTTCCTCCATTTCCTTCAGTGTGATATCCTCAGTCTGTTCAGCAACCTCCTTAAGCTCCGTCGTCTGGTTGCTTGCGAAATTCGCGTCTTGGGCAGTAACAGAGTCGGCAGGTTCGTCCGTCGCGCTTGGCACCGCGGGAGACTCGCTGCCACCCAAACCACTTTCCTCCTTCTCAACGCTTGCCATCCGTGCTCTTATTTGTTTCTCGAACTCCTGTTCGGCAAGCATCTCCGACACACGCCTTTTCCGTAGCTTCTCAATCATCTCAAAGAATGCTTTCTCAGCCTCGCGTTCCTTCGCTCGGCGTTGTTGAATTTCCTCCCTTGGGATCTCTGCTTTTTTGGCGCAAGGAACACGGACGGGCTTCTGAACTTGAGGCGCAGCCACCGCAGGGGGCGCCTCCTGCTTTTCCTTCAGTTTTCTCAACTCCTCGACGGCCTTCACTTTGTTTGCCTCATATTGCCTCAGTAACTTTGACTCCTCCCTCTCCTTTTTGGCAAGTGCTTGTCGCAGTGCCTTGGCGATAATTTTTTCCCGTCGATTGCGGTCCTCCCGAATTTTCTGCATGAAGGCTCGCTCCGCCTCGTCCTCGCGGAGACGTTTATGAACCCTTTCAAGCTGCTTCGTGGCCCGCACCCCCCGTAAGCCGACATGCAACTTGCGTCTCCTCGCGCCGGCAACACGACCGAGGATCAAGACTGTTCGCAACATTGCACAGAGAGCAATGGAAGATGGCGCAAGCGAAGGGCGTAAGAGAGAAGACTAAACTCCTGAGACGCTGTGCAGCGGCAGCCGTTCCTTCGTGCAGTCGCCAAAATAATAAAAAAATAATAATAATAAATATAATATATATATATATATATATATATATAATAAAAACACAAAAGTAACCGGTTAAGAAAGGAATTAGCCACAGTGGATGGGAAGACAGACAGAGCACAAAATAAAGGGAAGCGGCAACCGGAAAAAAAAAAGAAAACTCAACATGCTTTATGGTTGCTCAAAAAAATATATATTTTCTTTTAATTTCCCTGTTCCTTTTCTTTTCTTTGTTTATTTGTTTTTTTCTTGCTTCTTTGATATAAAAAATAGTGAGCCGTTACCACCACACTTATGCCGCCCACAAAAAAAAAAAAAAAAAAAGAGGACAAAAGTCGGCTGACTTTCGCTCTCCACCACCCAATTATTAAAAAGAAAAAAAAAATGCTCTTCTGAGCTCTATATCTGTCTGGTTTCTCTCTACCCAACGCCCTAGGCCAGTCCTTGCATTAAATTTCTGAGTGGTTCACTTGCGCTTTGGCTTCGATTTCAGTTTCTTGGGGACCTTTGATTTCGCCGCCTTGAATTCCTTCGGTACCTCCTTCGTTTTGGGTTTATTAACCGACTTCAGTTTCATCGGCTTCTTTGGAGTCAATTTCGGTGTCACGGTCTCTGCCTCCGCCTTTGATTTTGTGGGCTTATTGTGACTGCTCTTCGCCACCTTTGCCGGCTTCTTCGTCGGCTTCTTTACTGTCTTTTTGAGGGATGCGGCCTTCACCTTCCCCGCATCCGTCGCCACTGCAGTGGCGTGCGATGGCGGTGTGATGTCAAGCGACGGCATCCTTGGGGGCACCACCTCGAGGGGTGGCACAACGGAGGCGTTATGGATCGAAGCAGCAGGCTGCGTCAGGCACTTGACAGGCTGCACCTTCACCGCCTTGGGAGCCTTGGCAGCCCCCTTGCGAAGAGCAGGGCGAGCCATAAAACGATAAGAAAATCGAAACATGTTTTGGGTCCGTGGACGTTCGTACGACTTCTGTTAGAGGCTGAAATTAATGCGTTTTGCAACTGTCAATTCGGAGAGAAAAAGTAAAAAATAAATAAAACACAAGTAAAAATAAAAATAAAATAAAAAATAGAAAGCAATACACGAGACAAAAAAAATGGCAACCAAAATCTCAATACACATAAAAATATAAATATAAAAGAAAAAAGAGAAACAGAAAGAAAACAACAAAAGAAAACAAGTGGTAGAGACTACCACGTGGGGTCCTTGTTGCCAGTCTTCTTCTTGTCATTCAGCTCAAAGTGCTTCGTGCGCTTGAGCACGTTTTGAATGATGGACTTGCAGTTAGAGCATTGGAGCTTCAGGACAATCTTCTTTGTCGTTTTGGCCTTCTTGTGGAAAATGGGCTTCGTCTGACCGCCATAACCGGACTGTTTGCGGTCGTAACGCCGTTTGCCGCGCGCATAAAGACGTGCCTTGCCAGCCTTGTACTGCACAACCTTAAAGCTCTTATGCGCCTTGCAACGCGCGTCCGGGCAATACATCGTCTTCTTCTTCGGGTAGTTCACCATTCTCAATGTACCGAGGCGCGTGCTTGTGTCTGTCCGTCTGTGTCTGCACCCTGCCCTTGTGTATGTGAAATAAATGGAAGAAAAGTTTTTTTTTTTTTTGTTTCTTGTTGTTTTTTCGGTTTTTTGTTAGAAGTGGAAAACAACAACAAAAAAAAAAAAAAAGAGAGATGGTTAACACAAATATTGTTTTCACTCGTTTGTCCCAATGTAAACCTCTTGTCGCTGTGTCTCTTACTCTTTTTGCCCCTCTCTTTTTTCCTGCATCCCTCGGCTTTTTCGCGCGTCTGTTTCCATTACGGCGCCATGGAGGAACTCACAGAACAATTGCATTACGCACCTCATGCGTACTCGTCATTGGCCGCGGCGGCTGTCTGTTCGCGGCAATCGTATGCGTAGAAGTTGCGATAGCTCAGCAATATTGGAAGGACCGTCGCTTGATGGCCTGAACGCACGATATCATCCAGCTCGACCCATTCATGCCACTTTGGATTAATCATGTCTATCACCTCTGAAAGAATCGACTGCGCAGAAATGTCTGTCATGAGGCCGTTTGCAATAAGTTCGTTTGCAATCGCCTTGCAGAAGCACCGCAGTGTTTCAACCGTCACAAACTTCCTGTTCTCCTCAAGATCAAGTATGCTCCAAATGTATTTCATCGCAGGGAGAGTCGCGGCGTGCTCTGTCGCAATGACAAAGTCCAAGTAGGTCTTGTAATCCATAATGTGTCGCTTGCCGCTGTGCGGAACGTGACACTCAAAGGCCCGCTCAATCACCAGCCGCGTGAAGCTGCCGTCACTATAGCGGGAAAGCTCATCCACCGTGAGGACACCATCACCGTCAATGTCTAGACTCGTAAAGTGCTCGTAAATGCGAGCCATAAGTGCCAGGGAAAACCAGTTGTCCATGCAAAGTACGTCTGGTTGAAGAAATTCCGTTGATCCAGAGTTCCAGTACAACTGGCCGCGTCGGACTTCCAAAACTACGCCATCTGTCAACGTCTTCACAATATACATGTCGTCTTGGTTATTACCCTCTCCCTCATGGAAAAGCACAAGGGCCGGAATCGTGTCATCCTCCGCCGCATCGGCAGTCACGAGTGACGCAGCCACGTCAACTGTACACCCTTTTGTGAAGACCACAATGGCATCGTTCGCATCACTCTCAAACACCCTTAAAAGTTCCGAGAAGACATCGCTTTTCATCATGCTTTCAATAGATATCGCTCCCGTGCGTCTTGTGTCACACATGAACATAAACTTCCTAGAGGCATGGCAAAGATAGTACGGCTGCATCCAGGGCGGCATATCGCGAACCAGCCGCAAGTTGGGAAGCAAATCGTATAAAAACGCCTCAATATCCTCCTGTGTAAGCCCGTTTGAAAGTGGCGAGGATGAACTCGGGGGACACAACAAACGATGGGTAACCCTCGTGGCGGGATCTTGAAGGGATGGCGGTAAAACTCTTGCCACCAACTCCAGTTCCACCCGCATTCTGTATAGCAGAAGACGCTTCGCGGCAAAGGCATACATGGGAACAGCGGGAATCGTTCCGTCCTCGGCTCGTGGGAAAGCGAGGAAAGTTGCCGGTGAAAGAAAGGGGTGGTTAAAGTAAAGCTTTTTGCGGGACTCTCGCTCCTCTACAGACGCCTGTTTTTCCTCCTCAGGCGAAACGCGAAAAACAAGGCTGTACACGACCTTCCTATACCCACTGTAGGATAACCGTAGCTCATCGTAAGAATTTACTGTATCGAGCAACTCGGTGCTGTTTCGCTCTCTGTACTTCACGATGCTGCTCCAGAGCTCGGCCGGATTGGTATTGGCGTATAACTGCGTAACATGAGCGGCAAGGTACTGTCGTCGCGCCTCGCAAACCGTCAGCATCGCCGCTCTATCGCAGGGAGGCATAGAAGGAAAAAACGACGGCATGGAGACTATTAACAATTTACATGTGTTTTTTAATTGTTTTTATTGGGAGCAATAAAAGGACAACAAAAAAAAAAAAAGGAGAGTTGCGTGCCACATGGCAATGAAATATATATATATATGGATGTACATATAATCATAGCACAAAAATAAGTATGAGAAGTAAAGAAAGCAATAAAGGTATACGTGTGTAATGCATGCATGTGAGTTGACGTCTTTTACCCGCGACAACTCTGGTACTGAATGGACAATGTGAAGGAGGCGGTTCTCGACCGCAAGTTCCCTACGGCTGTGACGACTTCAAAGCTCCGCAATCGCGACATGACTCACGGTCCCTGAAATTCTTGTATCCGCACCCGCAAATCCACAGTGAGGGGTCAGTGGCACCGCTCGCTATCGCAGATAACGTTCCGCAATTCTTGCAGCGTGCCCGTGAAGAAAAGTTAAGAAATCCACACTGATCACAGTGCCAGTCGTCACGCCGTGCAGACACGGCGGCCGGTCTCGAGGGAGCTGCGAAGGTTCCGTTTATGCTACCGCAAACCTCACAGGATGTAGTCTTTTTCTCGTTGACGGTGTGACACGTCAAACAAGTCCACGGTGCCTGCTTGGCGCTACTGTCTGCGCGGAGGCTGGTTGTGCCGGCGGGATTCACAACGGCAGGCTTCCAGCCGCACTGCATGCATTCACCGCGCACGCGAAAGTTATGCGTTTTGCATTTCTCACATATCCAGTCGCCGGGAAGTAGTCGCAGGCCGCTCCCTTGTCTCTGTTTATCACTTGCCTTCCGCGGTGCCTCGCAAGACAAACAGCGATCCCTCCACGCAAAGTTGTGCGCCCCGCAGGCACACATCCAGTCACCCCTCCTAAAGCTGCTCTGTTGCGCTTCCATCGCCGCCCGTGGCTCATTAACGTCGCGAGGAAGCACCGACTTCGACCTGTGACACTGAAAGCACACCGCCCTGGACGCAAAATTTGAAAACCCGCAGGCGCACGTCCAGTCACCTGCAAGGCGCGGGAATAAATACGGCATCGTCGTGTGGTGCAGATTTCGACAAAACCCCCCCGCCACCGCAGCCACGCACCGAAATTTAATTAACATGCACAAAGTGCTATTCACAGGGCCTAATCAAATAGAAAAAGCAAAGAAGAAAGGAAGAAAAAGCAATAAGAACAAACACCGTGTCAAATACAAAAAAGACACCATGCACCAACGCATATATACGAACGCACACAAGAAAAAAAAAAAAAAACAATCAACTATCCCATCACCACAACTCTCCTTCTTCCTTTTCTGTCTCCACAGATCCGCACATAACAACTAAATAAAGAGCGAATTTTCTCTCTCTCTCTCTCTCTTTCTCTCTCTCTCTTTTTTTTTTTTTTTTTTTTTCTTGCTGTTGTTAATATTGATGTTCTTCCTATTAGGTGACACAAAAAAGGGCATCTATCCGTACGGATACATATCTATCGGTGTCTCGTGTGCTTGCTTCTAACTTTCTCATTTCCTTTTTCCCCCCTAAAATGTGCAAGACTACGCGCCCATTCTTCCGCTCATTTTATATATAGAAAACCCTTAAATTTTCCCCTTCATTGTGTTTGCTTAGTCCACATTGCATGGGAAATCCCACGGCTATGCCCACCCTTCGGCGTCATTATTGTAATCGTCGGTCGATGCAGGAGCAGCCGGCGTTGCTCCCGCCTCGGTGCCCCTGGCCAACGACGGCGGTGGCGCGGCAGGCGTTCCATCATGCACCTCGGCAGGTAATGCTGAAGTTTCGCCGCGGGAAACTGTAGGGGGCATAAAAGGTTGGGGAGATCCAACAGAAGCGGCGCTGCCTTCCTCTTCTTGGCTACTCCCAGCGGGTTTTTGATCCAAATGCCCACCTGCGCTTCGTTGTGGGGTTCGCTCCACAACCTGCGAAAGCGCCGGTGATGCTGGCAAGACAGTTCGCATGTTTGGAAAGAGATTCGGGTACGCCGTTGGGCTGGCGATGGCCTCACGCACGCGCGGCAACAGGGCGACGGCAACCTTCCACTTCATTACCACCTCGTCCACCTTGCTGTGAGCGTATGTGCGGGCGTAAAAGGCAGCCTCCGCAACCTTCCCTGTACGGCACAGCAATTCCACGTTATCCGCGTAACGCCCTGTGAGGTGGAAGCATGTGAACGCAACATTTGCCTTTCCATTCGCAACACATGTGTCTCCCAGTTTTGACATTGCGTCCATATCACCCCTGCAGGAATAGAGCAATAAGAGACCATTGCTATCGCCGCATTTCTGCAGAGCTCCCTCGGCCAATTCAAGCATGCCCTTCTCAAGAGCGAGGTCAGCCACCTGCTTCCAGCGAACCATAGACGGGGACCTCTCCGCTATCTCGTTTGCCAGGGACACTCTTCCCAGCTGCACCGCCAGATCGAAGCGATGATCATCGTCCGTGGTCACCTCCAGCGCCATTTCAAGGCGGTTCTTTGCCTGCAAGAATTGCGCTATTCGCATCCTTTCACTCATCTCAATGGAGGGAAGAAGTTCCTCAGCAGTCGAAAAGTCCTCACGGACAATGGCAGCCATGTACTCAATGACTTTCAAACGAAACAGATAGCTCGTGATGTTCTTGTCCTTGTCAATACATAAAATCCGGTTTTCCCTCGGCAAGTAACCAAGAAGATACTGATTTCGTGAAAGCACCCCAATGCTGTTTGTCTCGCCACCAATGTAGTAATTCAGTCGATGCGCCTGATTAACAAACAAAAGACAATCTCCAACCCAGAGAACCTCCTTCACGCTCTCCCCGACCTCCTCTACGACATCAAAGGCAAATTCCAGCCCCTCCTCAGGGGTGCTTTCTTGCGTCTCAAGGAACTCCATTACCGCCTCACTGCTAAAACGCAGCGTAAAAAAGGCTGTCTCAGAGACTATGGCCAGCAAGTCACCACCGTCATTCCATTGTACCATCTTGGGACACTCGTCGATTTGACGAATGAGGTTCAATGATGCCCAGTCATAGAAAGTGATACTGGATGCCGTGCAAACACCCAGAAGCGGGCCACTGAACAATCTCTCCGCTGATTCACTGAGGCTGATTGTCGCACGTTCCCTAAAATTTTTGTAGATTTTCAACGTCATGGAAGTCTCCAAGACAGCATAGGAGCCGTTCTCGGGGCCCCACACAAACGAAAGGCATGTACCGTACGTTTTGGGTCGCATAGAAAGTGACGAAAGAACCGTGTAGTCATTCTCGCCAATCACAGCAATAAACTGTCCACTTGGGCCATGCAAAATTGCAGAGGGCGATGTCTCGAGAGCGCCCATGTCCTTTGTAGGGAGAGAAAGAACATCGCCATCAGCCGCGTCTGCCGGAATAGTTTTTGCGTCAATACGCGTCACTTCATTTCCAACGGCTACAAGAATTTTTCCAGAGGAATCCATCGAGTACACAGGTTTGTCCTCACCCACTTTGTACACCACTGTCCCACCGTCGTAACCAACGACCAAGACGTTTGCATAACGCCTTGCCGCCATTGACCACCCCCGATTCATGCGAGAATGGTCAACACTTAAAAGAAGGCGGTGGGTATCGAAGGCAATAATTTTCATCTCCATGTCTTCTGCCAGTGTAAACAGCACAGGCTGACTTGGGTGGAACAGAACTGCAGTAACATTTGCCGTGTGGTAAGAAAAAACTTGTAGGCAGGCTTTTGTCTGATAATCCCACAAACGCACAGTCTGATCATCGGCACCGCTAAGCAGGTAGGGCTTATCACCGCCAGGGTAATAGTCAACGCAGTTCACGCCGTCTTCATGTCCCTCAAGTTGAAAATTTGGCACCGGACTGTTGATGCTCCACACTTTTACGGTGCAGTCTAGCGAGGCTGTGGCGAAGGTGGAAGGGTCCTTCGGATTGAACACAACGCCCATGACGTAATGTAAGTGACCTTCGTGTGTGTTTACATGAGCCCAGTTTTTGCTCCAGTCCCACTGCCGGACCGTCATGTCATCAGAGCAAGTTAAAATAATAGGCAGCTGCTCATGCACAGCAATACCTCGGATATAATCATCGTGTGCCTGAAAGGTCTTCGTCTTCTCCATCGTGTTGTAGTTAAAGACGCGAATCATCATGTCATCCGTGCCGCAAACAAATGACTGAAGCCGGGGAATAAACCGCACGCATCGCACCGGAAGCCCCGTGCCAGTATCAAATGACTTGAGCATCACTTGGGTCTCAATATTCCACAGGTTGATCACGCCAGAGTACAACGAACAAAGAAATAAGGGCTCCTTTGCGTGCATGTCCACCATCTTCACCCGATCA